TATTTTTAAAAATGCATTTTTTAATTAAACAGAAAACTTCAAAGTTAGAAAATAACAATTCAGAACCACAGAGGTGGCTCAGTGGGTAAAGCTCGGAATGCCCAGGGTTCAGGTCCCCAGCACGCTCACAGTCAGACACGGTGGTCCACGCCTGTAATCTTGGCCCCAGGAAGTCAAGAATCAGTTAGCCTGGGTGCACAGCAGTAAAGAGATCCTGCCTCAAACAAGGTGGGCCTCTGACCTCCACATGCATGTCACTGCATGTGCTGCCCCCCCACAAGCATGTGCACACACACACACTATGCACACAACTCTCTCCCAAGTTTTAAATGTGGATCCTGGCCTATTTATTTACTTATTTATTTTTATACACAAGATTCTTTGATGAGAATCCAGAGCACCCTTGTATTTTGAATGAAAGTTCACAAGACTAAGTCAGACAAATGATCAACCAATTTCACCAGAATTCCACCAAAAGCTCTCAGGCAGGGCACTGTGGTGGTTACAGAAGTGCCAGCCACCATCCCTGGGGAAAGGGCGTCTGTGTACAAGCTGCAGTCGGCTGTGCAGACAAGAGTGGCAGAGCAGCTCCAAGAGCCAGGGTGCAGAGGTGCCGTCCACAGGCTCAGCCAACCAGAAAGAGTGCCTCCGGAACACGGCTGGCCTGTCACAGGTCAGAGAGCCACCGACTTTGCGTCAAGTGGCTGCCAGGAAATGAAAATGTGCAGACGCAGCTCCCTGCCCTCCCTCAGGCTGCTGTGGGCAGCAGGAACGGGCTACATGCCGAACGAAGCTCCAGGCTTTGTGGATAAAAGGTCACCCAGGCTCCAAAAGTCCATGCGTGTTATCGGCCAGCGATTCTAGGGCGAGGGACGTGGGGCTGGGCAGAAGGTAGGCTGAAGGGAAACAAGATGGGTGGAAAGCCCACCTGACTCAACGGGACAGCCAGTGCCAGGCTGGGCACACATCTTCTCCAGAAGCCCACGGAGCCAAGGTTCTGGCTAGACTTGTGAGCACCCAGCTCCCACAGAGACCTGCACGGCTCCACAGGAGGCCAGGGAGGTTCCCATGGGTCAGGAGACCCACATCAGACACACAATTGACTGGACTTTTAGCCAATGGAAGATGCGAGGGCCAGCACCGACTCTCAAGAGCAGAATCCAGATGTTGCATAGAATGCAGACTGATGTTGAGGCTGACAGAGCCCAGGGAACCAGGAAGGAGCAGGTGGCCCGTGACCCCTGGGGCAAGATGTCCCTATGGAGGAGGTCATGAGGCTGAAGCCACCCTAAAACCATAACCAAAGCAGAGTCTCAGAGGGACTAGCCTGAGACTCCGGTACTGAGGTGCAGGAATGGAGAAAGGTGTTCCTTGGCAACGGGGTGGTCACAGGTGACCCTGAAGGAAAGGAACCTGGGAGCAGACCCTGCTGATGTGAGTGACAGGGTGGGGGTGGGGCGCTCCTCACGTTCCCCTCCCCCTTCCTAAGGTGCCCTGGGATGATCTCCGCTACCTTTTCGGTGAAATCATGTATGGAGGACACATCACAGATGACTGGGACCGCCGGCTGTGCAGGACCTACCTGGCAGAGTACATCCGTGTGGAGATGCTGGAAGGGGAGGTGCTACTGGCACCCGGGTTTCAGATCCCCCCCAACCTGGACTACAAGGTAGGGAGGGGCGCCCTGCCTGGGGGCTCAATATGTGACCGGGAAAGCAAAGACCAGTCCATCTTGACTACTCCCTGAGGGCCCCCCAAAAAAGCCCAATTGAGTTCTAGGGGTTTAGGTATTTGACAGAGAGAACCCCAACACATAAACCACCCCTTTCCAGGGCTACCATGAGTACATCGATGAGAACCTGCCCCCCGAGAGTCCTTACCTGTATGGCCTGCACCCCAATGCAGAGATTGGCTTCCTTACTGTCACCTCCGAGAAACTGTTCCGCACGGTCCTGGAAATGCAACCCAAAGAAACAGACTCGGGAGCAGGCACAGGGGTGTCACGTGAGGAAAAGGTACAATCTGTCTATGCTCCCAGCAACAGGGACAGGCTGGGCCTAGAGCGGTAGGAGGCAGCCCTGGCTGGGGACGCCTGGGCAGCTTGTCGAGTTGGGCGCACTCTGTCCCTGAGCCTTGGGTGGTTTACAGCTGGTCAGACATCACTGGCAAAGAACTGTGGGGTGCAGCAAAGTGGCTCCCCTGGGACACGGAGCTCAGAGGACAGCCAGGACATAGGCAGTCAGAAGTCTGTGAGACAGAGCACTGTGTAAGCTCCTTTGCCTGGCCTGCCTCGGCACCCCGAGGCTCTAGCACCTTCCCCACTTTCTCTTACATCGTGGGAAAGATCTGTCACACCTCAGCTCTAAGCTTGGGGCTAAAGAGTAAACAGGCCAACACCCGAGTCAAAAGTCCCTGCCTGCTGCTATTCAGGGTCCAGAATTTTTACTGACCTAGCAATAGAAGCCAGGAATCTACTGTTAAGCCAGGTGTAGTGCACACATAGACCTAAATCCCAGCACTCCAGAGGCTGTGAAGCAGGAGGATCTCAAGTTCAGGGCCATGGTGTTCCAGGGTGGACTGAGATGACACTTTCTCAAAAAAAAAAAAAAAAAGTCTGAGGGATGGTGGTGGGTGACAGTCACATGTCACAGTGTGTGTTGTGTGTGTGTGGGGGGGGTGCTAAATCAGTCCTGTGCCCACTAGGGCACCTGACAGGAGGTAAGAAGCTGGAGCGTTTGTGCCTTGTCACTAGGCTACCCGGCCAAATGTGGCTGCTCCCCACCCTACTTGCCTCTTCCCCAGTAGACTCGAGCCTGAGCACCCCGCCCCCTCCGGTGAATGCCCCAGTAACACAGTCTGCCTGGCACTGGCTTCCAGGTGAAGGCTGTGCTGGATGACATCCTTGAGAAAATTCCAGAGACCTTCAACATGGCCGAGATCATGGCAAAAGCGGCTGAAAAGACCCCCTATGTGGTCGTCGCCTTCCAAGAATGTGAGAGAATGAACATCCTCACCAACGAGATGAGGCGCTCGCTGAAGGAGCTGAACCTAGGGCTCAAGGTCAAAACCGCGGGTCAACCAGGGCACGGGCAGGGGCTTGTGAAACCGGCTGGGCCGCAGAGGGACAGCCAGCGGCACACCTCGGGCTTCCCCTCCCTCCCCTAGTCTGGAATCCTGTGCCCTCCAATACAGGCCACGGAGGGGGGCTATTGCCTGGCTGTGACCTCTGGAGGTGCCAGAGAGCCATGCTGGCAACCCAGGACATAGTGAGGGCTATCCCCCATCCTGACCTGACCACATCCCTTAGGGTGAGCTGACCATCACAACAGACATGGAAGACCTGTCCACGGCTCTATTCTATGACACTGTGCCTGATACATGGGTGGCCCGGGCCTATCCCTCCATGATGGGCCTGGCGGCTTGGTATGCCGACCTGCTGCAGCGTATCAGGGTAAGTCACAGGACCCCGGAGCCTCCAGGAACCTTTGTGCCATGGCCGCAGAGTCCCCGGCAGCCACCAGGGCTGACACAGGTGGGAAGGCCTGGCTCAGTCCTTCAGACATCTGACTTCCCAAGGAGGGGCAGGATGCTCAGAGCCCCATCGGGAGGACCCTCTCTCTGTGCAGCAAAGGCAAGAGCAAAAGCTGCTTCTGGGCCCCAGGTTACCGTCTAACATCGGGCCATTTCCTCACAGGAGGCTGCGGGCTCTCTGGTGAAGCCAGCCTCAGCAGAGACTAGTCTGTACCCTCAGCAGCCATGCTTCCTTGCAGGAGCTCGAAGCCTGGACGACAGACTTCGCCCTGCCCACCACTGTGTGGCTGGCCGGCTTCTTCAACCCGCAGTCATTCCTCACGGCCATCATGCAGTCCATGGCAAGGAAAAACGAGTGGCCCCTGGACAAGATGTGTCTGTCTGTAGAGGTGACGAAGAAGAACCGAGAGGACATGACAGCTCCTCCCCGAGAGGGCTCCTACGTGTATGGGCTCTTCATGGAAGGTAACTGTCTAGAAAGCTTCCAGAGCCACTCCCACTCAGTGGGAGGAGGGGGGATGAGACAGGCTGAGCAAGCCTAGGGTAGGAGTGGCTGGGCTTGGAGCCACCCTGAGCCTTAGAGGGGACTGATGGGCTGAGGCCTGGACCAGAAACCCATTCCAAGCTGAGTATGGTGTGCACGCTACAGTTGTAGCACCTGGGAGGCTGAGGCTGGAGGATTGCTGGAACTCTGTGGGAGGTAGGAAGATCCCAGCCAGCCTGGGCTCTACTCAAGACAGGAGCATTTGTAAGCATCATTTAAACAGTTTAGACATGATCATGATGAGGAACGTGGCCTCCACACTGAGGCAGGAGCTTTGTTGAGTTGGGAGCTCCTGAGGCTCCCCCAAGCAAAGGCTTCAAGGAGGAAGGCCGGCCAGGCTGCCCAATGAAGCCAGGACAGCAGGAGGGCAGACAGGCAGAGGCGCCCATCAGAATTCATTACCCAGCCAGCCAGGTAAGAAGGCTATGTCCTCAGACCCACTCCAGCCATGGCTCCTGTGCTGTGTTGGTCCCCGGCCAGCAAAGGCTCACACCCCCATTCTCCACGTTTACTGTGGAAAGCCACGCCCAACACATGAGCGCCCTGGATAGAACAAGAGATGACAGCAGTCTGATTAAGGGCAGATAGTGTTTATATAGGCATATATATATATATATATATATATGTGTGTGTATATAACTTATTCCCTATGTACACAGAGGGTAGACATTCATTACACAGGAAGGGACAGTGCTGGAATCGTCAGGCGCAGACAGTTTCTGTCGCTGACACTCAGAAGGCTGAGATGAGCCTCAGAGCCATTACGGCGTGCAGGGTCACCTCCAAGTCCTCAGTGCGTACCCATGTTTGGCACTTCTGGTACCTGGCCTGAGCTCTTCAGGGCTCCCACTTCACTGGCCTGTCTCTGAAAGATCAGAGAGGTCGGAGGCCAGGCCTCTATCTCTGCTGGTGCCTCCCATACAATACCCAGGCCATCAGCTACGTTGTGCCCACAGGAGCTCGCTGGGACACCCAGACCGGAGTCATTGCTGAAGCACGGCTAAAGGACCTCACGCCAGTCATGCCTGTCGTCTTCATCAAGGCCATCCCTGTGGACCGAATGGAGACCAAGAACATCTATGAATGCCCCGTGTACAAGACGCGTATCCGAGGCCCAACCTACGTCTGGACCTTTAACCTGAAGACCAAAGAAAAGGCCGCCAAGTGGATCCTCGCAGCGGTGGCACTGCTCCTGCAGGTGTAGCTGCTGCAGCGCCCGACCCCATGTGGCTCCAATCAGAAAACTGCCCTTGCTTCCCGTGCAACTGTAACTTTACAGGAACTGAAGCAATTTTTTTTTTTTACTTCTTACAAATCCAGTGCCCCTGGACTACTGTGCAGAGGGCAGAGGTGGATGGGGCACAGATTAAAACAACTGCAGTCTCTGTGCCAGTCTGATTGCACTCAGTGCCTGAGCAAACATCCTGGGCACCAACCCCCAAATCCTGCCTTAGGGAGGAGTGAGCTTATCTCCCGGCAGAGCAGGAGGGTTAGGGTGCGGCCCTCACCCCGGCTGCACCAGGGCCCAGGTGCGCCTTCCACACGGCAGCACCCACACTGGGCTCGCAAAGAGAACGCCTGAAGTCCCTGCACTACAACAAGCAAACCACGCCACAGGCGCCACCATGCGAGCTGCGCAGCCATCCTTCCCCAGTGAAGCCACCACATGGAACACAGTGAGTAGGAACCACTGTCGCCATGTCCCGCTCTGGGGTTACGGGTTTCTCCTAAGGAATAGTGTTCCAGAGTAGCAAACCCCGCCCCCCACAAACACTGTGCTTCTTTGTCTATTCTGTCTCCCACATGCTCAGTGCACACGTCCCTGAGAATGCTCCCGCTAACCGGGCTGCTCCATGGTTTTTGCACCTAACACACACTCCCTGGTAACCAATGACCCCAGGTGACGCTGGCTGAGGCCCCGAGGACTGGGCGGTGCTGACGCTGGATGTGTAGCCAAGTCATCAGGCTACAAGCAAGTAGAAAGACAAGAAGAGGGTGCCGGGAACAGCCACTGTAACTCCAGCAAAGGGCTCCCTGGGGAGCAGGCACCATGTGGGTTTCAAAACTTAAAAGCCGCAAGGAACCGCCACCCAGCTAGCCTGAGCCCCCAATGAGGACAGAGGAGTTTCAGGCCAGGCCTAGGTACTGAACATCTGCCTCTCCTGGCCAGGAGGGGTCACCGCAGCCCCAGAAGATTGCACAGCCAGCACGGCTCCAGGCAACTTTGTTCCAATCCCTTGTAATAAGCACAAATCAGTTTTTTTTTTTTTTTCCAATTTTGCCTTTGGAGTCCGAAATAAAATAGTAATTCTCCAAACTTCCCAAAGGCCAAGTTACCTTTCAGGGATCTGGAACAAAGTCCTGGAGTCAGAATTAGGGAGCCTAGGTGTGCAGAGACAGGTAGAACCGACCCAGAATTCCAAAGGCGGCAGGCAGGGGACAGGGCTCAGCCCAGGGCAGAAAGTGCAAGAATCTGAGAGCTCCCTCAGCCTCTCCAAGCAGCTGCTGTGGCTCGTGTCAGTCGGCCCTGGGTCACAGTCCTGAAGGCAGCTGTCTTCCTGACTCTGGAGCCCCACCTTCTACAGCAGTAATGGTGACAGTCGCTCAGCCACAGCCACTGAGATGTCGAGAGGCAGCCATCTCTGCTAGAGGGCTCCTCTACAGGAGGCTCTTCTCCACACACCAGGCTGGACTGGCAGCAGCAAATGAAGTTTGCAGCCACATCCCAGAGACCCTGGGGAGGAGTGGGTAGGCAAGCAGGCTTCTAGAAACGCCCAAGACACATGCACTTGGGATGGCCTGCTGTGAGATATCCACCAAATCTGACCAGGTACGGTGGCGCACTCCTCAACACTAGCACTGGAGGCCACCAGGACTGCTGAGCCTTTGTCTCAGATGGAGTAAAACTGAAGGTGTGACAAAGGGGCAGGGGCAAAGATCCAGAGACCCCGTGGCTTATGGTGGTCAGCTCTGCAGAGGTCTGCACAGCGTGGTAACTCAAAAGGCCACCATGTTCACAAGACAGACCAACAACATTCGCTCAGGCTCCTGGGCAGGCAGAGTATATCCCAAGCCAACGAGAACTCACAGCTACCTCTCTGACACCCCCACTAACCTGCTGCATGTCAGGGAGACAGTCTACCACGTGTCACCGTACCCCCAACCCCAGTGCACACCAGAACAGTTCCTCCACCCTTGAGCACTGTCTGCCACATAGCCACACTCAGCAGAGACCAGGGAAGGAAAGGACACCCCCCCCCCCCCCCGCCGCCCCAGGGCCTCTCTGGACCCCTGGGCAGGAACAGCAGAAAGCAGAGGTTGCTGGCTCTAGCCCTGGGCGGCAGCAGCCCTGGGGGGAGGGAGGAAGAGCAAAGTTCAGCACCTGCTTTAAGACTGTCCACGACCACAAACACTGTTCTGTGGCAAAGGAAGGAACAAGGCCACAGGGTCCCCTCAAGGTCCAGCCTTGAGGAACAACTGGCCTCCTCTGAGTTCCCAGCACCTGCCTCTTGTCAGAAGAAGTTCTTGATCAGTGGGGTCACCATCTTCACCCACAGCTTCACCTGCCGACCTGGCTGCTCAAAGGTCGCAGACGACACCACGCCTGATCTCAAGTAGAGCTGCTCCTGCTCCTGAGGAAGAGAGAGGACAGTCAGCACCAGGCGTGTATGGGTCAGCCTGTGAAGCTCGAGCACCACAGGCACAACAGTGATGCCACCCACACGTCTTCCTGAGGACTTTGGCTCCCTCTCTCAATGCTGTGAATTGGCCGAAGTTACAGCGGTGGGAAACCACTTTAGCTGCTCACCCCTCACAAAAAGGATCAGTGTGAGGTAAAGTAATAAACAGGGTTCTGAGGAGGGTTCCAGTTAGGGCAGGATTAGCCCAGCCTGTGCACGGACCCCGAGTCCTACCCCCAGCACAGGAAAGCACAGCTTCCCTTCCACCACACTGCAGTTACCCTGTGCCGCTGGTGCCGGCCAACGCTGCTGGTGGAAAGTGATGCTCACCAAGAAAGCACCTCTGCTCTCAACCACACTCAGAGCTACAGACATCTGCGGTGGCCGCATTCACAGTGGGGAAAGGCTGGAAACCACCTAAACATCCAACACTCACTTATGAATTAACCCAGATGACAAAGCAAAGTGACAGAAGCCAGACATATATGTATATCTGGTCCCTTGGAATCCATGACCACTACAGACACCAGAACCTGCAGATGCTCAAATCCCCCCATCAAATGGTGGCATGGAGATCTACTTTTACTAACAGTGCTGGCAACTGGGCCTAGAGTCTAGTACCTACTAGGTGAGCGAGCGCTCTGCCGCTGAGCTGCAGCCCCCAGTCAGCCCCACTTGTTTTTAAAACTCTAAGACAGGATCTCACTAAGTTACCTGAGCTGACCTTGAATTTGCAGTCCTGGGTCAGCTTCAGAGATGCTGGGATGACAGGCATAAGCCGCCTGGCCTGCCTCTCACATGAACGTTGATGTGTGTCTGCACACAGATGAGCGCATGCACGCGGTGCCCACAGATGCTGGAGAGGGCATCTGATCCCCAGAGCTGAAGTCACAGGCCATGTGAGCCTCCTGATGCGGATGCTGGGACCCAAAGTTGGGTCCTCTATAAGAGCAATACACACCCTGCTCTCCAGGCCTGTCTCCCAGACTCTTCAGCTCAGGGTTCCTCACCTAATGCAGTTGTAAATATGTAATATATCGACGCCATGTATGATGTGACACTTCATTCTTCAGGGACTACAAGACAAAGCCTGCGCACGTCCAGGTAGGAGAGCAATTCTCCTTAAGCATTTCCCACCCACAGTGGCTGGCTCCTTGGACTTGGAAGGCCAAGAGTAGGGCCTCCCCATAGGCTCCCAGAACAAAGAATGATCCAAATGAGTCTGACAGAGACAGTTTCTTCTGTTGCAAACCATGTTTAAACTTTCACTTTTAAAACCGAGTTCTAAACCCACATGTGGGCGGGTGGACAGCTGCTGGTGAAGGCACTGCCACCAAGCCTGACAGCCTGCAGAGTAGGCGAGAACGGGCTCCTTTGAGCTGTCTTGACCTCCACGTTCAAGTGGCATGTACACACATACACACACAGGAAGGGTGCTCATGAAGACTAAGACAGATACGCTTGCCTTCAATGCTATTAGGCTGTGGGTGTCCCACCACACGATCCTCTCCCACCCGCATGTCCATGAGCAGCTGGGATCACATCTGCACCCACACTTAAGGTCACAGCATGGTAACCATCAGCACTGGAGCCTGACAGAGCCTCACAGGGCAGCAGCACCCACAGGAAGGAACAGACTCCTCAGTTCCTCCAGCCAACGAGAAGGTGCCTCACCCAAGCCCCTGCAGAAAGGCTTTGCCCACAGAGGTGGGGACCCAGTGCCTGCCTTCACCTCTCCTGAACCTTCCACACCTGTGACCTTCATCACGAAGGCAGCATCCTGAGGCCATTGTCCACACCAAACTTTCAAACTGTGTCCCCACAGCTGTCTTTCCCATCACGATAGTCCCCAAGTCAAGAACACTGGCCTCTTGAGAAGGGGCAAAGTCTCCACAGACCCAGCTCCAGTTCAGCTCTTCAGTAAACACCCAGCCAAGATCTCAATTAAATTACCAGAAGTGCTTCAGTGTCCTCACAGACGCCACAGCAGGGACAGAGAAGGAAGTCAGCTGGTAGAGGTCACAGTGCTGTGCAAGGAGCCTCTTAGGTCACAGAGAAAAGCTGTGTTCTCTGAACACAACCAGGAAGCTTTCGGTTTTTATTGTTTACTCTACCAGGGAGGGACTCAGGCTCTGATAAAAATATCTTCCATTTTCAAGACTCAATACCCAGACAGGGCCCTTCCCTGGGTCCCAGGAGAACTGCAGCAGGCCTTCTGAGTGCAGGGACCACAGACTGCAGCGCTACAGGCTGAAGGCTGGGCATGTGCAGCTTCTACCACATGGCTATCAGACACTGAAGGGTCAGGAGGCCAGCTGCAGGCCTTAAAGTATACTGAAGCAAATGGACCCATCTAGAAACACATTTCTGCACTTCACAGACCCTGAATCAATGCACATGGGCAGCCACCTTCCCACCATTAAAAGCCCCTGGGAGATAGGTTTGGGAAGAAAATATCCCAAGTATGTCATTTGAGAAGTCAGCTCAGACCACAGCCAGCCAGGCCTTTCTCAAGATCCAGGATGTGGGTTTAGCTCCCATCTCAGGAAGTGGGGTCTTGTCAGCACTAGGATCCAGGGACAGGCCTAGGCACTTGCCTGCCGAAATCACCCATAACTCGTCCTTGCCTGGGCCAGAACCATACACAGCTCTCTCCATGGAGGCGTCTGCGCACACAGCTCTCTGCAGCAGGGACAACAGGCCAGGAGACCCTGCAGCCCAGAGCCACAGGCTCCTCTCCTCCACAGCCCGGCTCCCGAGCTGGCAGTTGCTCTGTTATGGGAAGCCCTTGGCCTCAGTGGCCTCAGTCATATACGCCTTTCTTCAGAAGGCAATCTGCTAGCACACCCAGTCACCCAACTGTCACTTCCTCTTGCCCAGTCACAAAGCCCTTACTGGCACCTGGCCCTCAGTGACAATTCCCAGACACAGTAGCAAGTCCAAAGAACAAAGCAATTCTACTTCCTCACCCATGAGGCAAGGGCTCTGAGCAAGCTGTAGCCGTGACTCCTGAACACTGGAATCTAAGGGCTCAGACATAAAGCTGTTCAGTCTTGAAACCCACAGTAGGAGAATTCACAATGAACTGACCTCTAACCCTCACACAGGTGTCATGGCAAATGCACATCTCACTGACATCTCATACATAACATACACAGCTAAAAAATAATCAAAATAAAAGCCAATGGGTGGTGTTCCTGAGGTCTGGCTGGGAGCAAGGATCCTGCATTCCAAGACCCCAGTGGAAATCTTGTCCAACCCACACAGGGGCTCCTGCTTCCAAGACCACAGTCCAGGGCTCTGAAGGCGGAGCCTGGTGCAGGAGAACTCACAGGGAGAGCATGTATGAATTCTCAGCTTTCTGTTGTTTGCTCTACAGGTGGTGGGAGACAAGGTCAACCCTGAGATTCACCCTCGCTTTTAGAAAAGACTGGACCCCATTCTGCAATACCCATGTCCTGGTGAAGAAATGGTGGTCTATTCCAGCATGGAGAGAGGGGAAGGGGGGATAAGCCTGTCCTGACAGTGCCACAGGCCAGGGCCTGCCTGGCTTTCCAAGGTTCCTCTTAAGACTTGAGGGACCCAGTTTCTCCCCCTCCCACACACACACTCTGCCTGCCTGTCTGCTGAATCTCGCTCCCTATCTGAAATGACTACAGCAAAAGCCGCCCGTGAGAACACCAATGGCATGGCTGCACCCCATGTGCCCAAGAACCCCATCACTCCTACAAACCTGATGGAGCTGCTGCTGCAGGGCTCGGCTCTCCGTCACGATGGCAATCTGGGCTTCTAGGTCCCGGTGAACTGACCTGTACCCAAAATTAGGAGAGCCAATCAACGTGAGGCAGGGCAGGCTGCTCCCTGCCAGGTACAGCCAGAGGCCTGCAGGAAAAGGAAATGTGCAGACAGGAAGTGAGCTCAGCATCTGCCAAGTCTTCGCCACGCACTGTTTCAACCTAGGAGGAAAGCGGCCAACAGGGGCGAGCATCAGGGAGCTGAACCAGGCTGAACCAGGCTCACACTCCTGCCTACGACCATTAAGGTGCTCCAGACTGCTGCATGCAAGGCCACTCTGCTCTCTGCCACAGCTGCTGCGGCTCAAGTCCCGAGCAGGGAGCTGGCTCCTTTGAGGGAACTTTGGGTCTTCTCTGACATCCCTGTCCCTAACTGCTCCCTGGGCCTTTCTCCAGAGAGGCCTCTAGCCCTAGCTCTTTCGATTGTCTACTGCTGGTCAAGTGCAGCTCAAGGTCCCTGCGGGCCAGAGCCTGCCAGCCCTCCTGGGAGCCCTGAACTAACGCATTGGTGTAGGACCAGGTCTGCCTACATACAAGCTGTCCACCCTTCTACCTCAGGACACCCCGAGTTTGTCCACATCTCTAGTTACCATCTTTGCCACACAGAGAAGCACTGCTGTAAGAGGACACCAGGGCACTGTGCCACAAAGACTGCCATGTCACACTACACGTGGGGACATGTCTAAAATGAAGATCATGGGTTCTAGAAGAATCTTAAGTACCACTAGGTATGCCCGTGGCAGGTCCCATTCTGCATCCTTTTCCATGCTCTAAAGATCCAGCTGCAGAACTAGTCCTGAGTCCTCCCCCAAGGGCTAGCCTAGCCTCTACCCTTCCCCTTACTAGCCCAGGAAAGCCCATCTTGGAAAACCCTGTCAGCTCCAGGAAGACCAATCACTCACGGGCTCCTACCACAGCCCCCCATCAACAGGACCCTCGCAGAGGCCCACAGACACACACAAACATCACGGACACCTGGCCTGCACGGAACACACACACGACTATACCAAAAGACGGCTTCCTAATGTCCACGCAGAACCATTTCCAAGAACACCTTGAGCAAGTGAGACAAAGGCTGCTGCTTACTCCTGTGACTGGTGTCCTGTCCTAGAAGGCCACATCCAAGTCTCCTGCCCGCTCTAGTAGTAGCCTCTACTTACGCAGGAAGTCAGAAGCCGGGGAGGCAGATGTCCCTCCCCACCTCCACGCTGGCAGCTCTGCTGCAGATGGCTCACCAGGCCATGCCTGCTCTTCCACACCTCTGGTGTCCATGTACTTAAGCCGCCCTCTGTCCCCACCTGAGCTTCCCCAGAACATGGAGCTGGGGAAGAGAAGCCTCGGGACAGGAACCCCAGCAGTCTCAGAAGACTGAGCATCCTTCCCACTGGCTGCTGTGGGGCCATCGCCACTACTCCCACCTGGGTCTGCTTGGGACAACCTGCCAAACACCCTCCTGATCTTGCTCAGAGAGAGGGGTCACCTGCCTCAGGGGCCAGGCTGGTTCCCATATATAAAAAGTACTAAAGTACTACGACCTTGCGGGGAAGTGTAACTTCTGCTCCCTCCACTGCCTCCTCAAAAACCTAGGCTGACCCTCAGGGTTTACTGTCCTCACACCCCAGCTCCTAGGCTGAACCTCAGGGCCTACTGTCCCCAAGCTCCAGTTCCTAGCCCTACCTTAACTGGCTGCCAGGCCCAACTCCTTACCCAAGAGCCTGACCTTTGGCCCTAATGTCTCCACCATTCCAGGAACCAGCAAGAAAGACTACAGTCTGGGAAGGAAAAGATGTTTGGGGCGTGGACTAGGGCAGGGCTATTCCTAGACAAGAGACATTATGTGGCACCGAGTACCAAGGACAGCTGGGGACAGGAGACGTCACTATAAGGCTTGGCACTTGTCACAAAACATGTAACTAGCATAAATACAGTGACCTGGACTCAGAGCCCAGAGACCCTTGTGACTTGTGGATGAGAATGCCCTACCTAGAACCCTACAGTCTTGTTCCTTATCAGAATGAAAATGAAGTGGGGGGTGGGGTGCACTGGCCTAGCGTGCAGCAGGAGTCCTGGGCTTGATCTCAGCACACAGTGGAGCCCAGCATCGGTCAACCTGGCTATAAGATCACTTTTGGGGGGTAAGATTATTTAAGTTATTATTGTATACGTCTGAGACATACAATCTGGCGGTGAGGAGTGCTGCACATGCCAGAGCCCACGCATGGAGGACAAACAACTTCATGGAGTTTGTTCTCTCTTTTCACCTTTATGTGGTTCTAGGGATAGAACTCAAGTTATCAACAGCCAGTAGTGGCATAGGCCTTTAGTCCCAGCACACAGAAGGCAGAGGCAGGAAGATCTCAGTGAGTTCAAGGCCAGTCTAGTCTACAGAGCAAGTTCCAGGAGAGGCTCCAAAGTTAGAGGACCCCTGTCCTGTCTTGGGAATGAAAAATAGGAACTCAAGTCACCAAGCTTGCACAGCAAGCACCTCTGCCTTCTGAGTCACTTCGTCAGAGCCTACAGGTCAAGTTTAGGGCTAGCCTGAGATACAAAGACTCTGTCTCAAAAACAAGTTGATAAGCAAAGGGCATGGTGGCACATACCTGGAACCCCAGCACTCAGGAAGATGCTTTCATGTCTGAGACCATTTTGAGCAGATTCAAATTCCAGACTAGCTGGGGCTAGATCTAGAATAATCCCAGTACTTGGAAAATGGGGACAGTAGGAACAGATGTTTGAGGCTACATCCCCTCTGCTACATGGAGAGTTCAAGGCCAGCCTGGGCTGCACATGACAATGCTTCTCTCTCTCCCTCTTCCTCCCTCTCTCTCTCCCTCCCTGCCAGTCCCCTCTGTTTAGCTCAAGAGAGACATATGGAACACCACTGAGAGATGCTGCCCATGTTATGGGTGGGCAGCGGTCCCTGGTGCTGAGTCCCAGGGAAGCCTGTGGCAGAACATCTATACACTACGTGAGGATGTACTGCCGTGACTAGTGCAATAAAATAGCTAGGCAGGAGAGAGAGGTGGGATTTCCAGATGAGAGGAAGAGGAGATAAATCAAGATGCACAGGAGACACCAATGGAACAAATCAGACATAAGGGACAAAGGAAAGGTAACCAAGCCATGTGATAGGACACAGATTAACAGAAAGACAAATTATAAGAGCTGGTTGGAGAAAAAGCCTGAGCTAAGGCCAAGCTTCCACAACCGCTACAAGTGTCCATGTCATGATCTGTGAGCTGGCAGCCCACAGGAAAACTGTGACAACAGAGGCCTGTGAGGTGTACGTCATACACGCTAGGCGTCCCCCCTCTGGACTCCAAGTCAAGAGCTTTAATCATTGGCTGGTGCACTGGAGACTCGTCGCCCTCCCTTGCTTGGACCCCAGCTGTGTCTACCAGCTCTCTCCAGATGCGCCTCCATCACGAGTGGAGGGGAGGCTCTGTGGGTAGGAGGAGGAAGCATATTTCCAGCACAGGGCTTTAAAATGGTCATCAAACCCCAATTCTTCACCTCAGACCCTGACCTTTGTGCCCAACATCTTCACAATTCCAGGAACCAGCAGCTTGGAGAAGGAAGAAATGCTCTGGGGAGTGGACTGGGGGTAGAGTGGTTTGCAGCCAAGGGAAACGCAGTAGCTCTGAATACCAGCAAGAGCAGGGAAGCTGGGCGGTGGTGGCAACGCCTTTAAACCCAGCACTCGGGAGGCAGAGGCAGGCGGATCTCTGTGAGTTTGAGGCCAGCCTGGTCTACAAGAGCTAATTATAGGACAGGCTCCAAAGCTACAGAAACCCTGTCTCAAAAAAAAAAAAAAAAAAAAAAAAAAAAAAAAAAAAAAAAAAAAAAAAAAAAAAAAAAAAAAGAGCAGGGACCAGACCACTACAGTCACTGTCAGAGCTTGAACACTAGAGGGTGGCCTGAACTCATCGAGACCTAGTACCCCTGCTACCTCCTGACTCTGTTCTCTTCCTGGGAGTGGTGGCTCACACCTGCAATCCTAGTATGAGAGGCTAGGGAAGGATTCTTCTGAATTCAAGGCTGGTCTGGACTACACAATGAGACTCGGTGTCAAAAACAACCCGATGAGGCCACATATCTGCCCTTACACAGCACAGCGAAGGCTGTACAGCACTGTCAAACAGTCCTGGCCACCCTCTACCCTGCAGACTGCACACCTACTGCATTCAGCCATGCACAGAGAGCCTCCCTGACCGACACCCTACCACCTGGATCCCCTCTCCTCTACTTAGAGCTTTTGCCTGCCCTAGTCTGCATGGGTCCCCCTGTCAGCTGCGTGCTTCCTGTAATAGAGAATCCCTGGGAGAGCAGGAGCCCCAACCCAATGAGCATGCACATGTGCACAGACAACAGGGACGCCAGATTAGTATCAAAGTGTGACAGCCTCCCAGCTAAGTAGTAAATGTTCAAAAAAAAATTAAAATGGCAGGAGTTTGGTCTGAAGAGATGGCTCAGCAGTTAAGAGACTGTTCTTTCAGAGGACCTGGTTTTGGATCACAGTACCTACATATTGGCTCACAAATGGGGGATACAACGCACTCTTCCGAGCTCTGGGGGCACAGGGCACACACACATACATTCAGGCAAATAAACAAAGAAACCTAAAGAAGCTCAGGAGCTCTGCACATGGAGGCCTGAGTCTTCTCTGAGAACTTCTCCAGAAAGATGAACTTCCTCCCACCCCAACCCTCCAGTGCTTCAGAGTATCAGACCCCTGTAGAAACCAGGAGACAGAAGGCATCACAGCCCGGCTCTTTCACAGGGGAGCACCACTCAATTCTGGTGTCAGAGGGATTGAGAAACTCCTGAGGCCTCAGGGCTGGAGTCTATTGCCTGTGATGGCCATGTGCACCACACAGCCCCCACCACCCTGAAGTTTATCTGCTGATTCCAGGTGGCAGCCATACCACATGGAGCCCAGGTGAACTAGGTGAGGCTGCCAGGCTGCCTCATCAGCTCACCTTCGGGCAAGGTGCCAACCAGCCTGTCGGGAAGACAATAAAGATAATGGCGTCCAGTCAGTCATTAACAGATTCCATCTGCGCAGCCAAAAGTCTCTTAATCCTAAAA